CCTCCACACATGATCGGCGTGCCTCCAGAGTGCCAGCACCACGTGATGGGTGTAGAGATGACCTTGACAGGCTAGACAGGCAGAGGATTAGGGATGCTATGGCTCTCCACTTTTGCCTCCTCTGGGTCACCCGGGACTGATCCCAGGGAGTGGGATGGCTGGATCCTATCCAGGGCATTTCTTGAGATGGCAGCTGAGAGCGGGGTAGCACCCCGAAGGGAGCAAGGTGTAGAGGCCGAGAAAATTAAGGCCATTCCACTTTAAGTTCAGCGTTAGCACAAGTACAGCCATCCCAGGCCCTAGTGAATATGAGCTGAAATTTACATTACTTCAGTTACAGGAAAAAAACAGCTTACAGCTTAACGTCTAGAAAGCCCCATATTAGAATAAAAATAGAGCCCAAGCCAGTGGCAGGAAGCCCCATATTAGAATAAGAACAGAGCTCAATGCTCTTGAAAGCCCCATATCAGAATGTAAACAGAACTTGAGAAATTGCTCCAGCCCTTCTGGAGGTCCCCTAGACCAGTCCTTAAAACTAAGCTGAAACCCACCTCGGGGTCTAAGTCCCTGCTCCGCTGTGTCGGGTATACTTGGACCCAAGCTCAAGCTTGTAAATAAACCCTTGTGTGTTTGCATCGGTGTTGGCTCTTTGGTGGTTTCTCAGATTCACAGTCTTGGGCACAACACAAGGAAGGCCATGAAGGAGGTCGAATCCAAAGACTCTGGAAAGGACGGTGTCCCAGAGACACCACCCAGGGTGGAGGAGTCAGAACTGTTCCCTGTCAGGTCTCCCTTAGTCCTTTGCCCTTATCACTCCATGCCCATTTTTGGCCTCTGAACCCTAAGACACCACCATCATGTGTTTAAGTCCCCCTCAGACTCAACAGGCCACACCATGCCATGCCTTCCCAGATGCGCCCACCCCTGGAAGGCATTAGAATGAGATGTCATCCTCCACATTCAGGATTGATTCCCAAAGGGTTTTTTGGGGTTTCCTGGGTTAGGAAACCAGGAGGGGACTTTTTTGGTCCCCAGACAATGTGAGTTCTTCAGATATCCTGTTTCCCCTTACCTCCCCTTGCAGTTTGCAGTTTGGAAGCTGCAGCCTGAGGGCTGGGGTAGAAAGCCATTCAATGGAGAGAAGTCCCAGGCTCTGACTTTAACAGACAGCCTTGTGCATTTGAATGAAATGATTGAATGAGGCCCATTGGAATGGATCACCCTGAACCTCCCTCAGCCACCCACCATCCCCCATCCCCTCCCAACCCAGAGCCCTCCAGTGGATTTGGGAATGGTAGGACAGGTGTGTGTGTGTGTGTGTGTGTGTTTATATGTATGCCTGCACTGAAGATTGTGGGGCAAGCTCAAGCTAGCTCCAACAACTCAATTCATTCTGGGAATGTTCTGTTGTTTCTGCTGAGTTGCCACTTGCTTCAAGAAGCAAAGCTAAATGTTGGACCCTGGCTCACGGGTGCCAACGTGGCCCGGTGGACGCCCCAGAGACTCAGACCCCAGACAGGCAGATGCAATTAGCAAGAGGGTTTATTGAACGTTTGCGCAAACGGGCTCTCCGCCTCTGAGGAGGAAAAGAGCCCCGATTAGCAATTACAGGGATCTTTTAAAAGGCAAAAGGAAAGAAACTGCCTAAAGACAAAAGAACCGCGGGAGTCGCATGGCATCCAGGTTGATTTCGGGGAGGGTCAACATGAACCTATTCAGGGACATTCCAATCAGGGTGTGTGTGTGCGGGGGATGGTTTTCTTATTGTGAACAGAATGCTTTTAGTTGCTAAAATTTCAGGAAGACGCCTGGATGGGCTGCCTCTGGATTAGGGCTGGCCCTACTTACAAGGGGGGAGGTTTCTTCACTAAACTCTTCCCATTGCCTAGTTCTTAAAAAGCCTGATTTTCCTGTTTTCTCGTTGAATGGACTGAGTTGTTCTCCATAGACTTGTCCTTCCTCTTGCACCCACTTCCCAAGGGAAAGCCTCAGTCTCATTCAACAGTCACTGGCTGTTTCACAAGACACCTTCTGTCTACTAAAAGGAGGAAGGAAGGTGGACAAACATGAACCACCCTGATATATGTCACCTCCATATGGAGGGATGGGGGGTGGGGAGGCCTCACTGGACAAATGGTGACTCTGAACCATGATCCCAGGGTTCTTGAAAAAATGAAGTGGAAGGAGAACCTGGCCAGCTCAGTCAGAAGAGCACTCAACTCTTGACTTCAGTCAAGGTCGTGAGTTCGAGCCCTATGTTGGGTCTAGAGGTGATGAAAAATGAATGAATGAACTTTTAAAAAATTAAGTATGTATGGAGTGCCTTGGTGGCTCAGCGGTTAAGAGTCTGCCTTCATTCCACTGGGGTATCATCCCGGGGTCCTAGGATTGAGTCCCACATCGGGTTCCCTGCGGGGAGCCTGCTTCTCCCTCTGCCTGCGTCTTTCCTCTCTCCCTCTGTGTCTCTCATGAATAAGGAGATAAAATTTAAAAATAATATAAAAATTAAAATTAAAAGAATGGAATGGAATGGAAAGATAATGTGGTGAGGAGGATGTGAACGTACCTAATACTGCTGAACTCTAGGCTTAGAAATGGCCAAAATACTCCATTGTAGGTTGTTAGGTTTTTCCCAAATGAACGGCAGAGAAATTAAAAACGGCAGAGCCAAGCAGTAGGTTTGAGCATGCTTTAATGGGGAGCACCCCAGGTGAGGTTCCATGACTCAGAGGGGCTTGAGTCAGGGAAGTCCTGCTCAGGCAAACCGCAGAGGGGTCTATAAAGAGTTTTCAGCGGGAAGATGGGGGGCAGGGTGGCATTCCAATTAGGGCAAGGGTTACAGGTGTGTGCTAAGTTAGGGTAGGGCAGCAAGGAGGTCTTATTGGGAGGTTGCTCCCCAGTCTCACCAGCCCAACATAGGTGATGTCTATTTTTTTTAAAGATTTTATTTATTTATTCATGAGAGACAGAGAAAGAGAGAGAGGCAGAGACACAGGTAGAGGGAGAAGCAGGCTCCATGCAGGGAGAATGACAGGGGACCCAATCTCAGGACTCCAGGATCATGCCCTGGGCTGAAGGCATTTGCTAAATCGCTGAACCACCCAGGGATCCCCTATTTTTAACCACAACTTAAAAACAAAACAAGACCCCCTTTCCTTGGCTCAGAGTAAGGTTGGAGGGGGTCCTGTCATCTGCAGTGTAGAAAACCAGGGTTCAGCAATCTGGAATATATTCTTTCTCTCCAGGTAGACAGACGTGGCACTGACGTCATCCTTGTAAGGCAAGGCAAGAAGGAAGAACTACAGCATTTCAAACCACCAGGGGCACCTTGGAGGCTCAGTTCCCTTAAGCATCTGACTCTTGCTTTCATCTCCCAGGAGGTGGCACTCTTGACTCATCTGCTCAGGCTGTGGGGCCCTCTGGAAGGAAGGTATCAGGCCAACATTTTCCAAGGGGGTTGATTGGCTCCAGAAAGTTGATCTGAGTTTCTTAAAGCTATCTGATCCTGAGTCTATGCATGTGTCTAAGAATGAGATTCCAGGGGCACCTGGCCTGCTCTGACAATAGAGAGCATGACTTTTGGCCTCAAGATTGTGAGTTTGAAAAATAAAAATAAAAATAAAAATAAAAATAAAAATAAAAATAAAAAGATTGTGAGTTCGAGCCCTACACTGGGAGTAGAGATTACTTTAAAAAAACAAAACCTGGGGGGCAGGGGTGCATGAAGAAAAAGAAAAACAGATGCCATTCTAGTTAAGGCCTTGGTAATACAATCAATCCTTCCAACTGTATCTGGTTACAACGAGAACAGATTCCCACCCAACCTACGAAGATGATTTACAATTGCCTTAAAAGAAGGAATACTCACTGAGAGTTTCTGAACTCTGGAGGGCTACAGGTAGGGGGAAAAGATAAATATTTTAATTTGTTTACAAAACAACATTTTCACAAAATTTCTGTAAGTTATAGGTGTCTCTAGAGACAAGTTTCCTTCAATCTGGAGGAGCAAACATGAGGGGATCAACAATGTTTTGAACAAGAGTCATTAAAAACAGTCATCATTGTCCTTAACTCATTCAGTTCTATGTTGTTTCTTTTTGTTCTGTTTAAATGCAGCTTTTTCATTCGTTCTGACAATTCACACTTTAGTTTTATGATCTCAGAGTGAGAAGAGACTGGTATTTGTCAAAAGCCCATGTCGTGAATCTTCTTGAAACTGGACCATATTTTTGCAAGAGCATCAGAACAACACCTGCAAATGACAGGGCAGTAACAAATGGAATTGTTTAAAGACCCAATGAGAGTTCATTATAATGCAGTCGATAAGAAACTGATATTTTTTTGTAACACACAGCATTTTAACAATTCAAGTGTCCAGTGATGGCACTGTACCAGGATATGTTACAACTTTGGAATTTCATTTAATTTTTGCAACAGCAATAGCATTCATGCACCCAATATAATCTATGAAGGCTTATCATTATTTGTTTGACAATGCTTCTCTTGTGACTTCACATAGCAGGTAAACTACATTAATTAGTCAAGAGATTCTATTTAGGGTTTTACTTTCTGGGAATCTGTTGAAAATGAATGAATGAATGAATGAATGAATGAATGAATGAATGAACAACTGAACAGCCAGCCAGCCTAATCAACCAACCAAACAAACAACATTTCAGAAGGTTTCAAGGCAGATACCTATAAAGGATCATGGATCCTTACAAAACTGAAAACTTCAGTATCTGTTTTGCCAAGGTGGTCTTAGGAGATTCTACAGGAGTTTATAGAGTTGTACCAAAATGTCACTCCTTTAATATTGAGAAGTTTTCACTCTCATATTTAGGTAAAGACTGAATAAAAACGAATATAAAAACCTTGTTGTTCTGGGCAAGCAAAGAAAAAAAAATGCCTTTTCTTCTCTGTTCACAATCTCTTATCAAGAGTAGACTAACAATGCAAGAAAACCTTGGCATTTTAACAGAGAGAAGAGGGAAATTTCAATGTTAACCAGTGTACTTGTAAAACTCACTTCTCCCAATCTCAGTCAGAAAGTCTCCTTCAATTTGCCAGCAGATTACCCTATTTTCCCTGTGCAGTGGAGTCTAAAGAATGGTTTACACATCAGCCCCCCCTCCTGGTTACCTGGGCCAGGACTTTGAGTGGGCCGACTACCTCAAACAGTGTGGTGCTGAGGCTGCTCCCCAGAGGTGCTTCCCTCCGTCCATTTCTGAACGTGAATTTAAGGAGAATATGAAGCTTGAAGCAGTGAACCCTCTTCTCCTTGAAGAAGTGTGTGTTGCCACTATTACTGCAGTGAGAGGCTCCTACCTGTGGCTCCAGCTGGAGGGTTCAAAGAAGCCCATACCTGAATGTATTGTGGGTGTGGAATCCATGGATATATTTCCTTTGGGCTGGTGTGAAACCAATGGCCATCCCCTCAGTGCCCCTCATCGAGCACGAGTACACAAACAGAGGAAAATTGCAGTGGTTCAACCAGAAAAACAAATACCATCCTCCAGGACTGTCCATGAGGGCCTGAAGAATCAGGAGCTGAACTCCACAGACTCAGTTATGATTAATGGACAATATTGCTGTCCAAAGATATACTTCAACCACCGTTGCTTCTCAGGGCCATATCTTAACAAAGGGAGAATCGCTGAGCTTCCTCAGTGTGTAGCACCTGGGAACTGTGTTCTGGTCCTCAGAGAGGTCCTCACTTTACTTATCAATGAAGCCTATAAACCCAGTCGTATCCTTCAAGAGTTGCAGCTGGACAAAGACTCCGTATGGCATGGATGTGGGGAGGTCCTAAAAGCCAAATACAAAGGAAAGAGTTACCGGGTTACTGTTGAGGTAGTGAAGACAGCAGATCGGGTGACTGAGTTCTGCCGGCAAACCTGCATCAAGCTGGAGTGCTGTCCGAATCTCTTTGGCCCACGGATGGTTCTGGACAAATGTTCTGAGAACTGCTCTGTGCTTACAAAGACCAAATATACACAGTATTATGGAAAGAAGAAAAATAAAAGAATTGGGAGGCCACCTGGTGGGCATAGCAACTTAGCATGTGCCCTGAAAAAAAGCCAGTAAGAGGAGCAAGAGGCGGAAAAATGTTTTTGTCCATAAGAAGAAACGCTCCTCTGCATCTGTTGATAACACCCCAGCAGGCTCGCCCCAGGGAAGTGGAGGTGAAGATGAGGAGGACCCAGATGAAGGAGATGACGATTCCCTCAGTGAGAGCAGTACATCTGAGCAACAGGACGAGCTACAGGAAGAGTCAGAAATGTCAGAGAAGTCATGCTCTTCCTCGCCTATCCAAAGTGAGATCTCTGCATCACTGCTTCCAGACAGACAACGGAGAAAAAGAGAGCTTCGCACGTTCTCATTTTCTGATGATGAGAATAAACCTCCTTCACCAAAGGAAATAAGAATTGAAGTTGCTGAGAGGCTTCACCTGGACAGTAACTCCCTGAAGTGGAGTGTGGCAGATGTTGTCCGGTTCATCAGATCCACTGACTGTGCCCCTTTAGCGAGAATATTTCTAGACCAGGAAATTGATGGGCAGGTCCTGTTGCTCCTTACCCTTCCCACTGTTCAAGAGTGCATGGACTTAAAATTGGGCCCTGCCATCAAACTCTGCCACCACATAGAGAGAATCAAGTTTGCTTTCTATGAGCAGTTTGCCAACTGAGAAGGACAAGCAAAGTGAGCTGTGTCTTTGAAGCACAAATGCAGCAAATCCTTCTCCCTGCTCTACCAGTGGAGCTGAAACAGCCCTGGGGCTCTGGACCCAACAGAGGTCGGCTTGCTCTCTTTGCACTTTCAAGGAAGGAGGACCCACACTGAGGAAGCAAAAACTACACAGAAGTGGCTCTTCTGCCACTGGAAATGTGGGCATCTCTTGGTCAGCAGATTGCAGTTTAAAAAAAAATAAAGGTTGTGAAGAAAAGACTCCTGTAAGAAGAATAAGCATTTCCAGTGGTGTGGCCTGAAAATGAAGAATAATCTAGGCTCCTGGAAAGCACCCTTATGGTCATTTCCTTTCTGTTCTGTTCCTTCCCATTGTAGACTGAACTTTGTTCTCTACTTTTTCTTTTTTGGAAAGAATGGACATAGCTTTAATTCAGCACTGATTTGGGACTCTGCCTAAGGCATATCAGTGCTTAATTGTCATTGTGTTTTTAAGCTTTTTTAAATTAAAACAGTTCATTTTGGGAATGAAAAAAAAAAAACACCCAGTGCTCATCCCATCAAGTGTCCCCCTCAGTGCCTGTCACCCAGTCGAACTCCAATACAAAAATATACAAAACAAAACAATAAGTCTCCTTCAGGGGATGCCTGGGTGGCTCAGCGGTGGGGTGCCTGCCTTCGGCCCTGGTCGTGATCCCAGGATCTGGGATTAAATCCCACATGGGGCTCCCACTAGGAGCCGGCTTCTCCCTCTGCCTGTGTCTCTGCCTCTGTCTGTGTCTCTCATGAATAAGTAAATAAAATCTTACAAAAAGCGGGGGGAACACCTGGGTGGCTCAGCAGTTGGGCCTCAGCCTTAGGCTCAGGGCTTGATCCAGGAATTCTGGGACCTAGTCCCACATTGGGCTCCCTGCAGTGAGTCTGCTTCTCCCTCTGCTTATATCTCTGCCTTCTCTCTGTGTCTCTCATGAATAAATAAATAAAATCTTTTTTTATTTTTTTATTTTTTATTTATTTTATTTTTTTAAAGATTTTATTTATTTATTATTATTCATGAGAGACATAGAATGAGAGAGAGAGAGAGAGAGAGAGGGAGGGAGGCAGAGACACAGGCAGAGGGAGAAGCAGGCTCCATGCAGGGAGCCCGACGTGGGACTCGATCCGGGGTCTCCAGGATCACGTTCTGGGCTGAAGGCAGGTGCTAAACCGCTGAGCCACCCAGGGATCCCCTATTATTATTTTTTTAAAGATTTTATTTATTTATTCATGAGAGGCACAGAGAGAGACAGGCAGACACAGAGGGAGAAGCAGGCTCCATGCAGGGAGCCTGACGTGGGACTTGATCCCGGGTCTCCAGGGTCACACCTTGAGCTGAAGGCAGTGCTAAACCGTTGGGCCACCCGGGCTGCTCTCTTCTGGACTATTTTAAAGCAAATCTCAAACATGTCATTTCACTTATAAATATTTCAATATATAAACCTAAAAATAAGTATTTTAAACAGTTGTATCTTCATTCTCATTAGTTTCCATGAATCTTTTTAATTCTTCCTTAATTTCCTGGTTGACCCTTTTATCTTTTAGCAGGATGGTCCTTAACCTCCACATGTTTGAGGTCCTTCCAAACTTCTTGTGATTGAGTTCTAATTTCAAGGCGTTATGGTCTGAGAATATGCAGGGGACGATCCCAATATTTTGGTATCGGTTCAGACATGATTTGTGACCCAGTATGTGGTCTATTCTGGAGAAAGTTCTATGTGCACTTGAGAAGAATGTGTATTCAGTTGAGTTTGGATGTAAAGTTCTGTAGATATCTGTGAAATCCATCTGGTCCAGTGTATCATTTAAAGCGCTCGTTTCTTTGGAGATGTTGTGCTTAGAAGACCTGTCGAGGGTAGAAAGAGCTAGATTGAAGTCACCAAGTATAAGTGTATTATTATCTAAGTATTTCTTCACTTTGGTTAATAATTCGTTTAAGTATTTGGCAGCTCCCACATTCGGGGCATATATATTGAGGATTGTTAAGTCCTCTTGTTGGATAGATCCTTTAAGTATGAGATAGTGTCCCTCTTCGTCTATCACTACAGTCTTCGGGGTAAATTTTAGTTTATCTGATATAAGGATGGCTACCCCTGCTTTCTTTTGAGGACCATTTGAATGGTAAATGGTTCTCCAACCTTTTATTTTCAGGTTGTAGGTGTCCTTCTGTCTAAAATGAGTCTCTTGTAGACAGCAAATAGATGGGTCCTGCTTTTTTATCCAGTCTGAAACCCTGCGCCTTTTGATGGGGTCATTAAGCCCGTTCACGTTCAGAGTTACTATTGACAGATATGAGTTTAGTGTCATCATGATATCTATTCAGTCCTTGTTTTTGTGGATTGTTCCACTGAACTTCTTCTTAAAGGGGAATTTTAAGAGTCCCCCTTAAAATTTCTTGCAGAGCTGGTTTGGAGGTCACCTATTCTTTCAGTTCCTGCCTGTCTTGGAAGCTCTTTATCTCTCCTTCCATTTTGAATGAGAGCCTTGCTGGATAAAGTATTCTTGGTTGCATGTTCTTCTCATTTAGGACCCTGAATATATCCTGCCAGCCCTTTCTGGCCTGCCACGTCTCTGTGGAGAGGTCTGCTGTTACCCTAATATTCCTCCCCATGAAAGTCAGGGACTTCTTGTCTCTTGCTGCTTTAAGGATCTTCTCTTTATCTTTGGAATTTGCAAGCTTCACTATTAGATGTCGAGGTGTTGAACGGTTTTTATTGATTTTAGGGGGGGATCTCTCTATTTCCTGGATCTGAATGCCTGTTTCCCTTCCCAGATTGGGAAAGTTTTCAGCTAGGATTTGTTCAAATACATATTCTGGCCCTCTGTCCCTTTCGGCGCCCTCGGGAACCCCAATTAAATGTAGGTTTTCTCTTCCTTAGGCTGTCATTTATTTCCCTTAATCTGTCTTCATGGTCCTTTAATTGTCTGTCTCTTTTTTCCTCAGTTTCCCTCTTTGCCATTAACTTGTCTTCTATGTCACTCACTGGTTCTTCCACCTCGTTAACCCTCGTTGTTAGGACTTCTAGTTTGGATTGCATCTCATTCAGTTGATTTTTAATTTCTGCCTGATTGGATCTAAATTCTGCAGTCATGAAGTCTCTTGAGTCCTTAATGATTTTTTCTAGAGCCACCAGTAGCTGTATAATAGTGCTTCTGAATTGGCTTTCTGACATTGAATTGTAATCTAGATTTTGTAACTCTGTGGGAGAGAGGGCTGTTTCTGATTCTTTCTTTTGAGGTGAGGTTTTCCTTCTAGTCATTTTGCTCAGTGCAGAGCGGCCAAAAACAAGTTGTATATGGAAAAGGAGAGAAAGAGAAGAAAAGGAAAGAGAAAGAGAAAAAAGAAAAAGAAAAGAAAAAGGAAAAAAGAGAAGAAAAAGAGAAAGAAAAAGAAAGAAAGTTGAAAAAAAGGGGGGGTGGGGGAAGCAATCAGAAATCAAAAAGAAAAAAAAAAAGGATCCCTGGGTGGTGCAGCGGTTTGGCGCCTGCCTTTGGCCCAGGGCGCAATCCTGGAGACCCGGGATTGAATCCCACGTCAGGCTCCCGGTGCATGGAGCCTGCTTCTCCCTCTGCCTATGTCTCTGCCTCTCTCTCTCCCTCTCTCTCTGTGTGACTATCATAAATAAATAAAAATTAAAAAAAAAAGAAAGAAAAAGAAAAAAACCAAAAACACGGGGGAACATCTCCTGATTGTGTAGACTTTAAGTCCCTTGACTTCCCCTGGAACTGGTCCGTCCAGCTGGTCTTCTGGGGGAGGGGCCTGCTGTGCTGATTTTCAGGTGTTAGCACTTGGGGGAGCTGCTCTGCCCCTGCCTGCTGCAGGGCTCAGCGGGGGTTGTTTACCCCGTGAGGCCCCAGGAGGAACAGCCGCAGTGGCTATGGCAATTCTGCAAGCCTGGAGTCAGCCTCCGCAGGAACTACGAGGGTCTCGGTCTGCAGGGCCTGGAGGCTCCGGGGCGGGGCCGCTGATCTGCTCAGCTCACGGCAGGAGCGTCCTCGCTGTCCTGGGCCCCCTCGGCCTCTGCCTGTCCCCGGGGGGAGGCCGGTACCTGGGCTATGTCCCGGCGCCCTGTGCTCCCGGGCCTGTGCTGTTGGATTTGCGCTCCCGCCCTGCAGCTCCCTCCCTGGAGCCGCTCCCGAGCCCCCTCCGAGCTGCTCCGGTGCACGCTGCAGCCCTTAGGGAGCTCGGCGCACTCTCCTGCGCTCGCAGGTGTCTGTTAGTGTCCCAGGGAGCCCGAGGGCATCCCCGCCCTCCTGGGTCCTGCTCCAACTCCCTGCGGGCCCCTCTCTGCCCGGGAAGGTTGGTGCAGCTCCTGCTCCTCCGGGACGGGGCTCTCCTGTCCTGGGGACACTCGCCCCGGCCTCAGCCCGGCTCCTCGCGGGGCCCCTCCCCCTCGGAGGCCTTTTGTGTCTTTATTTCTTTTTCCCCGTCTTCCTACCTTGATAGAAGCGCGAACTCTTCTCACTGTAGCTTTCCAGCTGGTCTCTCTTTAAATCTCAGGACGAATTCGTAGATTTTCAGGATGATTTGAAGGTTATCTAGGTAATGTGGTGGGGACAGGTGATTTGGGGACCCTGCTCTTCCGCCATCTTGCCCCTCCTCCTAAATAAATAAAATCTTAAAAAAAATAGCCGGGCTCATTTCAGGACAAAATTATTTTCATTTTCCTCAACAAAAAATGTATTATCATGCCTTGTACCTCTTCTACACATCTCCTACCTTCTCACACACAGAGTTGCTTTCCAGCAGTCTCTATTCCATGTGGCAGACTTTTTAAAAAATTGTACTTATTTACATTATTTAGAGAGAGAGCACTTGTGTGAAGGGGGAAAGGAGGAAGGGAGGGAGAGAGAGAGAGTATCTTTTTTTTTTTAGATTTTGCTTATTTATTCATGAGAGATGGAGAGAGAGAAAGAGCCAGAGACATAGACTGAAGCAGGCTCCCTGCAAGGAGCCAGATGTGGTACTTGATCCCGGACCCCTTGATCATGCCCTGAGCCAA